ACATACAGATATTTTGAGCTCATCGAGTTGTTAGTGATAGCTGAATGGGACATGAGACAAGTTAACTATACCTGAGATAAAAGCACCACAACAGTGTCTCCTGGCCATCAGTAATCTGGAGGGTTCATAACCATGATGTGTTAGCTATGGAAATCTCTGTCTTTCAGATGTACATGTAGTATATAAGCTGTTACTATATGGGATGATATGATGTTACAGATGGGGCCAGGCCAGGGTGAGGTGTCAACAGTCAAGTATCAATCCCCAACTCCAACACTTATATCTACATTTGTTCTCTAAGCCCCTTGGACAGGACCAGTGCTAATGTTATTGACACTGCAACCACATTTCCTATGTTATTAGTTCTAAGTCCCCTTGTACCTATAAGGAAGTCCTCTGATTAGTCTGTCATCTGTCATGATTTGACAGTTTTATGGGATTTTTTGGCTTTTTTGTGACAATTTGGACAGAATATGATCATATTATGAACCATGTATGTATATATGTAGAAAATTGCCAGATGGGGTTTTTCCTGATGCTTGAGGGGGAGTGTTGGAGATAGATGGTTGATGAGCATGCAAGCGGACGCCGTGTCGGCCGTTGCGCGCGCGGCGCGCGCGCCTTCGCGTGGTATGGACATATGCGGACACGAAAACTTATACTTCCGTCTTCAGATAATCGTCTCATTTTCGCGAGCGCACGTCTCACTTGCTCCCTTACCCGAGCAGTGAGACGTGAGTCCCTCTTTTGTCTATATACCCTGTACCGAAAGCTAATGTACCGTAGTTATATCTACACTAGGTACATGAATACGACTTGCTCCCTTACCCGAGCAGTGAGACTTATATCTACACTAGCCGCTCGTTCCATTCGCACTCCGTCCCGTCCCTCGTACACCTTCATTATAACCCATGTTTTCTACCAGCAATACGTCCTTTAGTGTATGTAACCGTTGTGATTTCCATTCAGCTTCGCGCCGTTCGCCCCGTTGGCGTGGCCGTTCGCATGTCCATTCGCATGTCCATCGGCATGACCGTTCGCATGCCCATTGGTAGCGGATCCAGAGATCCGGCCCTGCATAATCTCCAGCAGCACCTCGCCCATTCTCGGCGTCTCGAACGCGCGGAAAATCTGTCAGCGACAAGCCCATCAGCTCCCATTCTCGATATCACACCAAGCTCATGCGTACCTTGCTGATCTCCGTACCGATCTTCGTCGCGTCCTTGACAGGGTCACCGCAGTGCATCTTCACGCCGAGCTCCCCGCGCACAAATGCGTTCAGTGTCCTCGTCTTGCCCAAGATCTGGCTCGCAAGCGACTCCGGCCCTGGCTGGTATGCCTCGCGCAAGCGCACGAATGTCTCCGTCGCCTTTTCGACGAGGGCCGCCCTCCACGCGTCGACGTCGCCGAGCTTCACGCCCGCGTCGACCTCGACCAGCTTGCTCGAGAGCGTCGCAGTGAGCCCGGTGAATACCTTGTGGAAGCGCGGGCGTGCGTCCTGGTCGACGGTCTCGTTCAACAGCACTACCACCCTGTTCCGCAGCGCGAGCAGCAGACCTGCCTCGAATTCGGGCGAGTCGGCGACGAAGGCGAAGCGCGCGACAGTCTCTGCGCGAATCAGCTCGAAGAGCTCTTTGCGGAACTCGACCTGCATCGCGCGCAAGTCCGCGGCCTGGCATAGGGCGTAGATATGCGTCGCCATGAGCATCCGGACGAGCTTGATAGTCTCGTGCGTGTACCCTCGCGTCCGTATAAAGGGCGCCTGCTCTGGGGTGCCTCCCTGAATTTCGATGCCTCTATCGTGCAAGTCTTCGGGACGTTGTCGGCGGGTGGTTGCCTATGCATCGCTCCCGACACAGCCTTGAAAGAAGATTTACCAGGGCTCGTGCGTAGCATGCAGGTTGAAATTGTGAATGTCACGCCCACCGTCGCAAGGCTACTGGTGGACGAGAAGCTGGAGAGTCTGACGGATGTCATACTGGGTGGAGAGTCGTTCGGGCCCGATTTGCGCGATCGTCTGCTTCGCAACGGCATACGACGAGTCTCCAACCATTACGGACCTGCGGAGTGCACTGTCGAGGTTACACGGAACGTCATGGACGCCCGTTCAGTCGGCATCGGCAGGATCCCATTGGGCAAGGTTTTCGGCGACAACATCGCGGTTGTCGTTGACGAACATCTGAGACCATTGCCCTACGGCGCTACCGGCGAGCTTTGCATTGGCGGACCGCAAGTCTCTCCGGGTTACCTTAGCCGCGGTGACCTGAACGCCAAAGCCTTTGCGCTTGTCGAGACCACACCCGGTCATCGCGAACGTGGGTACAGGACCGGAGACATCGTGCGCCTCGTTCCCGACGGAACTCTTGACTTCGTGTCCCGCAAGGACCGCCAGCAGAAGATCAGAGGTCAGCGCGTTGATCCAGAAGAGATCGAGGAAGCGCTTCGCAAGGAGATACCGGAGCTGGACCAGGTGGCAGTCGTGCCTATGAGCGACGCCGCGGGGGCGAAAACTCTCGTTGCTTTTGTCGTAGTTCGGCGCGACGTCTCGGTAGATCTTACAGTGAAATGGGCGCCAGTCACCAAGAAGCTTTTGGTTGCGCCATCGACGTTCGTCGTGCTTCCCCGTCTTCCAGTCAACCTCTCCGGCAAGTTAGACGTGGTCGAACTGCAGGCAGCTTACGAAACGCATATGAATACTCGCCTGAAAACACCGAAAAAGCAGTCAAATGGTCACGATAATGGGCATGCGAACGGGCATCTGAATGGTCAGCCCAATGGAGGCGCCGACAGTAGTGTGGCTGAAGCCCATGACCCGAGGGTAGATCTCGTCCGCGGGCTTTGGGCGACTGTGCTGGGGCTGAAAGCCACCCAGATTGGGCTGGATACACCGTTCGCCGATCTTGGAGGTAAACAGGATACCTTCGAAGGTCTCGCGTTCGCTGACGCGATGTTTTTTCAGGTGACTCGTTGAAATGGATGCAGTTATCCCGCCTATTCTTGCGATCGAAGCAGAAGGTGGCGTTGACTTCACTCATAGCGGCAGATTCAGTGCGACGTCAGGCAGAGCTGGTCAAATTGTGATTAATATATGCAGACATATAATCATGTGGACATTATTGTAATCATCACGGAAATAAACATTATTCCCGCTCACGACCGGCGTCGGAGTGCGCGCTGGACATTGCATGGATACGTCCTCGGGCGCAGAAAGCCGGCTGGTAGTTGATAACATGCACGGAGACGTCTAGGTTTGCTGTCGTTGCCTCCATATCTTTCTCACGAGTTCATTGGCACTCCAAAAGGCAAAACTAACGCGGGCACTCAGCAAAGTAATGATCGAAAAGGAGATCAAGTACTTACTCAAGGAATCCGCCGTCGTAGACGCTTTGCGATCGCCCCAGCTTTGATGGCGGGGAGGCAGCGGGAAGAGGTCCAAAATCCTACCAAGATCCAGAGGTTCATCTCCCTCATCATCGTCCGTGTCAGAGGCGACGTCTGCGAGCGCCGGAACACCGCTGTTTAGGGAGTCCCGCGGAGGCGTGGAAGGTGCAGAGGACTGCGGGACATATATGACGTCGAAAAGCTCCTTGGCGACGCCAAAGGACGCGACGGTCGCCAAATAGGGCAGGCGCGGGCTTGCCTGCAGCAACGTTGAAATGCCGAGTCCCGTGGTGCCACATGACGTCGCGGAAGCGTCCATAAGGAGGCAGCCAGCATAGAGCGATTTCGGACTTCCACACACTTCCGAGGCGGGGCTGGCAGAAGTCGCTGTTGCAGTCGCATTCAGAGGCATTGCCCGCTCTCCTCTAGCGTCTCTGGGCAGCCCAAGAGCAGTGGAGCTTGCCGCAGATATAATCAACGTCTTCGCAGAGGGGCTAGGCGAGATAGTCATCCAATCCCGCAGACCGTCCAGAGTCGAAACTGTTGACGAAGACTCGAAGAATGAAGAGAAGGGGTCGACAGAACCTGCGGGGCGGCGTCCAGGGGTCCCCGGTCTGGGCTGCAGAGACTCAAGGAAGCGTAGCTCGTTGGTGCTCAGACAAGGAGACATAGGCGGATTCGAGTCACCCGTCGACCGGTAGGAGCTTATTGCACGAGAGGCACTAAACGCAGGGCTGTATCTAATTCTGGGCCCTAGGGCTTGGAGAATACCAGAGAGGGACATGCTTGATTCCACCATGCTGAGTCGGGATAGCCTCTTTGCGGGGTTGCGGTTGCCAATACCCGGTTTGCTGGTATCGTCAGATGATGACCGAGACGGTTCCGCTAGGCGAGTCGACGATGCAAGAACGGCTACAGAGCCCGGACCGGAGTACGGAGAGGGAGCAGAGCAAGAACGCGAGCCACTTCTCGATGACATTGTTGGAGCAGCATGTGGAGGTGAGCCAGAGTCCATCGCAGCAGAGAATGGGTCAGAAGGTATGAAACGTGAAGCCCCAGTACCAGCTTGAGGATACCTGCCGTCGGGACCATTGTAGATCGGCGCGGGGCGAGATGGACTTCCTCGTTGGGTATCGTAGGGTCCCTCCGGATTGGTAGAGCGTCTCATCATGAAGCTGTTGCCGAATCTCTTGCGAGTCTTCCAGCTGGTCCGAGGATGCTGATGATGATGAATGAGGTCGTCCAGTTTGTGCGCGAGGTTTGCAGAGTGGCTTTTACGCTGCTCGTCCGGCGCCTCGGGCAGAGGCTTATCCTGGGACGACCGGGGCGATGAGGCTGGAGATGTAGGCGTGCCTTCTAGAAACGGTTGTGCATATGGAGGCTGAGAGCATTTCCGCTTCGATTTGGACATTCGTAGGTGATGCATGTTCGTCCAGAGCGTTATCCGACGTTATGTATCTAGTGTACCCGTGATTTGCGCCAAGGTTTTTTCAGGTGCACGCCGCCAATTCCCGGCAGGGGTAAGTCGACGTATATAGGATGTTCGAAAAAGATAGGCTGTGAGTAAGGAGCGTGAAGTCGAGCCGGGAGCGCGTGCGGCGAGCGTCAAGACGAACGAACGGCAGCGACAAGCCGGCAAACGACGACGAACGCGGTCAGTGGCATCATGTGACCGAACCACGGCTTGTAGCCTTGCCTCCCTCTCCGTCTGGCGTTCGAAGGGGTAATTGCCTCTGTAGTATCAGCCAGTCGAAAATGTCCTCCTTAGCTGGTGCTCTTGAAGACCCGCACCATCTGCAAAACGGAGTAGACGTCAGCACTTCTGGCGACATTGACATGCACGGGGACTCGTTGACCGCGGAAGCGCCTGCCGCAGCGAGCGAAGGCGACGACGACCAAGAGGAGGGCCTGGACGACCTCTTCGGCGACGATGATGAGGTTGAGCCCGTAGCTCATGAGAAGGATGAAGAGTACGTTCCGCCATGGACTGGCATTATGGGAGCGTGCTCATACCGTACCGGCCTCCTAGTACGCAGTCGGTGGCGACATCGGAGAGGCTACCTTCACCCGAGCGCGAGCACCGAAAAGCGATGGAGTACGCGGAGGAGGACGTGGTTGATCAGGGTGGCCAATTGGAGGCAGACGTGCAGATACCCAACGTCCCTGCGCCACGAAGTTCGGACGGTCAGGTATGTACCTTCGGTTGCTAGCGCATAGCAACATGCTCATTATCTATCGCACATGTGGTAGCAATGGGTGCTGCGTATACCTAGCTACGTACGAATCGATTCCAAACCTTTCCACCCCGACACATACTATGGCCCTGAAGATGAAGACTCGGAACAAGCCAGTCTGATGCGGGAGAAAAGCATGTCCATACGACTGGCGGTCGAAAACACGGTCAGGTGGAGGTGGACGAAGGACAAGAACGGGGTCGACGTAAGTTTCTGTCCCCTCATCATCCGACCCCCTCTCACGTAGCCTCCCATGCAGCGTCGACAATCGAATGCTCGCGTTATCCGCTGGTCGGACGGTACATTAAGTCTGAAACTCGGCAGGGAGCTTTTCGACATCAACCAAACGTTGGACACGTCCGGCGCCGTTGCGCGCCAAGGCCTAGGCGCCTCACAATCCCAGCAAGGCTTGTCGCAGTCGCAGTCGCAGTCCCAATCCCAGATTGCCGGCGCGAATGGTGTCTATACCGGCCTCACCTATCTTGTCGCGCAGCACAAGCGCGCGGAGATCTTGCAAGCGGAGGCCGTCATCACCGGCACGATGTCGCTCCAGCCGACCGACATGTTGTCCGAGACGCACCGCATGCTCGTCAAGGCCGTCGGCCAGAAGCACGTGAAGACTGCCAGATTGAGGATGGCGCCGGACCCGACGAGGGACCCGGAGCTCGAGCTGATGGAGGAGATGAAGAGAGATAAGAAGACGAGGGTGAGGGGACCGAAGGACGAGGGCGATGAGTTTGGGGAGAAGAGGAGGAGACGGTCCGGAGGGGGCGGGAGGAGCCGTGCGCGCCGAGCGGAAGACGTGTGGTCAGACGAAGACGAAGACGATGGTGTGTACGGAGGGTTTGACGACGAGGATATGGGCGGAGGCAGTTCGCAGAAGAGATCTCGGGCAAAGGAGGAGAAGAAACGAGGGGGAGACTACGAGACGGACGATTTCCTTGTGGCCGACTCGGATGAAGATGCCGACGCTGGCGGCGACTCGGACGAAGAAGTTAGCTCACGCCCGAAGAAGAAGAGTAAGAGGCGGGAGGAGGAGCACAGCGAAGAAGATCCGCTGGACAAGCTCGACGCCGCGATCGAAGCAGAAGAGGAGAAGAAGAGGAAAAGCGGAAAGAGCGGAGATGAAGATGAGGACAGCGAGGACGATCACGAGAAGGATGTGCACAAAGATGAGGACGATGCGGACAAGATGGATATGGATGTGGAGAGCGAGGAGGATGAAGATGAAGGAAGAGTGCGAAAGGCAGGGACAGCGTCAGGCACGAGGAAGAAGAGAGTTGTTGGATATGATGAGGAGGAGGATGAATAATTGTAGTGTTCTTTCCTGCTATAGCGGGCTGCTATCTACTGTGCTCTTTTACCATGATGTCCAGAGGGACACTCCTCTTCGCGCACCTGGAATGTAACGTCTTGCCATATATGGCAGCTTGAAACAGACGACCATTTACGGACAACACCTCTTGACTTTCATCCTCCGCATTCTTGAGCTTCATCCGCATTTGTATCTCGCTTTCAGATTCATAAGACGTGCTGAGATGACTCATATGAACTGATATGCTTCCGGTGCAAATCCTTATTCGAGCCCGGCGCAGTCACCGACCAGCAGGGCATAATGTGTAACGAACGCCTATAAGAGAAGGGCCCCAAGCTTCGTTGGTATCTCACCGGTACCCGCAATCAACTCTAGATAAACAGCCCAACCATTGTCCAGTCATTTCCCGCAGCTCATATCCGACATAATGATGGAATACGGTTCATTCGCTGTTGCTTCTGTGCAACGTCAGATCATGCTCGTCCAATGTAGGTTTCACCGTGGATCCTGTCGGCGCTTTTGATCTGAACCGCTCGCTTTATTTAGCGGCCCGTAGCCACAATATGGGCGACAGACATTTAGACGTCTATACCTACAAACCTTTCGCCGAAGGCGTATTCCTCGCTTCCGAAGTCCCTCAAGCACGGATAGCATCCAAAGACCTCCTGACCATCTTCCCGCCCACCGACGCCTTTCAGCAATTAGCTTCTGGCATGCTGGAACTTCCTCCACAAGCCTACTCAGAGTGAGTGCTAGACCGGTATAGGAACACATACTGATCCCATGCATAGATATATGGAGCTCAGCTCGCGCGGTCAGCAGCGCGCTGAGACCCTCTACGCTGCTCTCATGGCGCGAAGAAGATAACTCATAGCATCCTACCCACACATTCGGGACCATCCCGTTCCTGTTTGACGTCCAGCTTGTATCAATAGCACCTTTCGTACAATGTAGCCCTATCAGTGCACCGTTCAATCGTTGTGACCCTACATTAGGGTACAGGCACTTATCGCCATTTCTTCCGTGATGCTCCGCAGGACGATGAACAGACACCATCGGACCGCGATACATATCCAAGCAGAACTGTACTCAATCGAAGAGATCAAGACGGATGCTGGCCTCCTTTGCAACACGGCATGATTCCGATTTTCCGACTCCGGACGACTCATGCTCAGCCTCGTTCTGGTTCGGCGAGGCGCTCTCCTGTGCCCCGCGCGTCCCGGACGACTCATGTTCGCGAATTCATTTCAAGGTCTAGCGAGAATACCACCGTCATCCGGGATATGCTCTCTACTAAGCACTGATTCAGCCCCGGCCGTTTCTTCGCCGCAAACGAGATGAAGATGATGCTTGCGCATATCGTGATGCATTACGATGTGCAACTCGAGAATGGGTCGCACGTCCGACCGCCGAACTCTTACTTGGCAGTGAACTGTCTTGCGAATCCAACCGCTAAGATATGCCTTCGAAAGAGACAGGGATTGGGGTTGTCAATATAAGTACTGCTGTCTGGCATCTATTTCCCGACTTATTACCTGACAATATTAATGCAATATAATGTGCCAAGCATTGGTCAGAGACGAATAACGAGAGAAGACATCATACGCCTTCACTGTGTCCACAATCGTGAGCATCTGACCTTGAGGCGGGACCTTGAACGGAACAGCACGGATGTTTGTCATCTAATATACTGAGCAATCAATGTCCGATGTAAAACACATTCTTTCCACATTTTGAGACGTCGCTCAAGGAGCCGTTCCGGATTCAGAGTGTGCTGTTCAGTGTTCAGAAACCACCTCTCACCGGATATAATATATGAAATCGTTGATCCGTTGATCATTCATGTGAGAGGCTAATGTACATGCGCATGTAAAGAATACGGGGCGAGGAGCGTTATACGTTATTCATTATCGGGGAAGCTGTAGGTAAGTGACCGTCCGAAGCAGTTCAAAGCAAAGATACAACAGAAATGCACGGGAAGCATGCAAAGCGATAAAAAATAGCGCCGCCATCTAATGCGGCAGCTCCTCCGTCTTCTTGTCCCCTTGTACAGGCTCCGCCGACGCGGCCTTCTCCACCCGGTTCCCCTTCGGCACCCGCATGAGCCAGTACAGGACGAGGGACGCCATGATGTTGAACGAGATGTAGACGATCAGCAGGCCCCAGTTCCGCCAGCGCTCGGAAAAGTGCGCGTTGATCTGGTCCAGGAACTCGTCCGTCGTCGTGAGCGAGCAGAACTCGCAGCCGGAGGTCGCGTCGGGATTAGAGACGGAGCCGCCGGCCGCGGCGATGTACGACTGGAGGTACTGCCCGCAGGTCTGGCCCGAGGGCGGGTTGAACGTTCTGATCTCGATGGACGAGCATTTGACAGGGGCGTGGGCGAGGCCGACGGACAGCATGGCTTGCACCAAGTATCGGAAAGGTGAGACGTCGTACATGAATATCCAGAAATGCGGGAACTGTGCAGGAGTGGCGAGAACTCCAGTGAAGATGAGACAAAGGCTGTTGGGAAGATCAAAATCGGTCAAAATCGGTCGTGAACGAAGCGAAGCCATGCTGCGTACTTGAACATGAGGTTGGCGAAGTTGCCGCCAGTAGTCGCGTCCTCGACGCCAGCGATGACCATGGTCGCGAACGTGCTTGTGAATATATAGAACTCAAGAACGAGCATGAAGAACAGCCCGCTGCGTTCCGCCGTTTCATGGGCAAACGCGGCATTATGGTTCAGGCCAATCGGATAGTAGATCAGGACGAAGGCCAAAAGTGCAGCGATGGTTTCTGCAAAGTCGTGTCAGTATCAAGTAATGATCGAAAGACGTAACGCTTTGAACGTACGCCAAGGCAGCTCCACAGTCAGCTGAGCGAGCATGAACGCCGGCCAGCCGAAGGTCTTGCTAGGGCGCTCCCTGACCTCGTAAAGGGCACGTTGAGTCACGAACTGGGGCATGATTTGTTGTACCATGTTGCCGAACGCAGTCATGAGCATGAAGATGCTAAACATCTATAGAGAAGACGTGAGCAAGCCATTCACTGGGAATGCGTGCTTCGTCCCTGGGCTCACCTGGTTCTGCAAGCCCTGCTGGTTCCTCTTCGCCTGCCAGAACGAGAACCCGATGAACGCGGCCGTGACAGTGGATAGCGTCAACTTCGCGTAGATGTAGCTTGGGGTACGCCAATACCTGCAACGGTGACATCAACGTGTGGCCCAAAACTCCACGAGTAAAAGCACGCACTGCTGGAAAACCCTCCTCGTTACGAGGCAGTATTGCGAGAAATGCGAAGCAGCAAATGATCGAGGGCTTGCGTCTTCTTGAATGGGCCTGCCAGACAACTCGCGCTCCATTTTACCGATCTCGGCCCGGATGTTTTGACGTTCAGGGCTCTCCTTCCAGACCTCGGGCCAATCACGCTTGGCGACGGCGCCGGGCGCAGCTCCGATGACCTCTGCAGAGAAGGAGCACGTGAGGGTTAGCAGGTAAGCAGCGTTCCAACAGGACAAGCACCCACGCAACATCCAATCCGCCGGGTTCGCAGCAGGTGGGCATGGATCCGCCCCGTTTCGCTCAAAGTAGTCAATCAGGTTCCTCGAATCTTCCCCGAGATCTCCAAAGTACACCGTACGACCGCCTAGAGAAGAGATCCAAGTCGTGGTTAGCTATCCGCAGGCGGGCAGAGTACTCGATGAGCCCCACCTTTCGCCAAGAAGAGCAGACGATCAAACTCCGAGAACAGCTGCGCGCTAGGTTGATGGATGGTACACAGGATGGCCTGCCCGTGGTTGGCTAACTTGCGCAGCAAACTGAGAATAGACCAGGCCGTCTGCGAGTCGAGACCGCTGGTGGGTTCGTCCTGTACATGTCGTTAAGTCGTGTCTGCGATGCAGTGGGAGCATGTGACAAACCAGGAACAAGAGTAGCTGAGGCTTCGCGGCGAGCTCCACGCCGATGGTCAGGCGCTTCCGCTGCTCCACGTTGAGACCTTCACCGGGAACTCCGACGACGGCGTCCGCATACTGCAGTCCGAGTCAGCAACGACCGGCCACTACACACGGGAGGGGTATGCATACCTCTCGCATCTCCAGCAAGTCGATCACCTGCTGCACATACTCCAGCTTCTCCTTCTTGCTCACGTGCGCCGGCTGTCGGAGAAGCGCGCTGAACTCGAGAGCTTCACGGACGGTAGAGGTTTGGAGGTGCAAATCCTGCTGTTGGACGTAACCGGTCTTCCTCTGGAAGGAGGCATCGCGCTGACGACCGTTGACTGCAAATAGGAAACATGAGCACAACGACCAATCCATCGTACACTCTTAAACGTACCGAGCATATCACCCGAGACAACGCCCATGGTCACTCGAGAGGCGAGTGTATCCAGCAACGTCGTCTTCCCAGCGCCGGAAGCGCCCATGAGGGCGGTGAGCTTGCCGGGCTGGACCCATCCGTCGACGTGGTCAAGTAGCCGCCGCGGCTGTCCCTTGATCTTAATATCGTACACCTGCCCGCGATTCGTTCAGCGTCGCGATCAACTCCCAAGCCCAGGAAACCGGAAACGCACCACATCGCGCCACATGAAGATATCCCGCTGGCTCAAGTCCGCGGCGGTCTCGTTGCTCGACCCGTTCGACGACGATCCCATGAGCGGCGCCGGCTTCTCCCCGCGCGCCGCGCCCTCCTCGTCCCCCCTCTTCGCCGGGCGCAGGTTCCCCTTCCGGAAAACGAGGACCTCGCCCTTGGACTTGGCCGAGCTGATGTACGTCGTCGCGGCGAGGTACGTGCCCAAGAACGCGATCATGAAGCCGATCAGGATCCCAAAGTTGCGCCAGAGGTGCGCCCGGCTGTACTCGAACGACTGCGCGATGTAGTCCGAGCCCTCGACGAAGCCGTTGCCCGGTTGGCCGCCGACGACGGCGCAGACGTGCTCGAGGCCGGAGACGCCGGCGTACCCTGGCCCGGAGGGGATGAACTGCGCGCAGGGGTACCGCCGCCCGGAGAACTCGTTGGCCATCAACGCCTCGAACGCGTACCCGATCGGGTCCAGGTAGTTGATCCACCGGAACCAGGGGTGCATGTCCCGCGTCGGGATGGTGAAGCCGGTGTAGATGACGAGCGCGAGGATGAAGATCGCGGCGGGCGTCATCGCCTGCGCTAGCGTCCGCGAGGCGGCGCCGATCGTGCGGAAGATCATGCTCATCACGAGCATCGTCGTGAACGAGATCAGGAAGAAGATGAAGAACGCGCCGGGTTCTCGTCGGAGGTTGGTCATGAAGTACAGGATGAGGTTGCTCGCGACGGCGGTGAGGATCTTCGCCGGCATGTCGACCAGCATCGACGCGAGGGCCTCGGCGGCGGGGTGGATGAGTGCGTACGCCGTGTGCTTCTCCACGATCGGCCGCTGCACATAGAGCGTGAGGATCTCGAGCGCGCTCGAGAACGCGTTCATGAGGATCGCATAGAACAGCAACGCGCCGCGCGAGAAGAAGCTGCTCGTGTCCGCGGGGAGGTTGAAAAAGACGGAGGAAATGATCAGACACATGATCGAGTTGCCGAACACCGTCACGAAGAACATCGACAGGTCGTTCCGCAGCCGCTGGAACCCGCGCATCAAGCACAGGCGGACCTGCATCGGGAACGAAATCGTGTACGGCGACTTGGAGCTGACGTGGTCCGCCTGCTGCGCCTTGCGCGACTTGACGAACGCCTCGAGGTGGTGCCCGCCGACGGGGTACTGGTGGTCGTACGCCTCGATCTCGCGCATGAGGTGAGCATGCTCGGCGCTCCGCTTCCACGCGGCGGCGAACTCGTCCGGCGTGCGCGGGACGCGGCCTTCGAACCCGGGACGGACGATGCGCTCCTCTGGGCTGGTGATCGAGGTGAGGTAGTCCGCGGTCGTCTGGCGAGGTGGGCAGTCGTAGCCCATCCGAAGGAAATAATCCTTGGCAGCGGTCGTAGGGCCGAAGAAGATCTGGCGGCCCTCGTAGAGCAGGATGACCTTGTCGAACAGCTGCGGACGTACGATTAAGCGAAACAGCTGAATATATGCGCATATGGACTGACGTCGTACGCTTCCTGGCTAGCTTGGTAGATTGCGACGATGTTGGACACTCCACCAGCCTCCGATGCGGTTCGTAACGTCTTCACAAACTCAAGCGCGGTAGCACTGTCCAATCCTCGCGTACTGTTATCCCAGCACTGTACCGGACTACCGCTCAGAGTAGCCTCCGCGATCGACACACGCTTGCGTTCACCGCCCGAAACCTGGGGTCATCGCGCGCGTCAGACTTTTTTTTTCCCATACATACCACCGCTGGAAATGGAATCGATACGCACCCCACGGACGAAGTCGTTCCCGACGCGGGTGTTGACGGTATGGCTGAGACCGAAGATAGCCATGACGACGTCGCGCATGTGCATCGCCCACTGCTGGCGGGTAACGCCTTCGGGACGGTTGTGCGGCGTCCGCGCGAGCGCCGCGAAGCCGAGCGTCTCGCCGACAGTCAGCATCGGGAAGTGTACGTCGACCTCTGCCTGGAAATAGAAAAAAAAATCAGATCCGAGCGCGGTGTTCAAAAGACCACGGGGAGGGGGGCCCGTACCTGGTAGATGACCTCTCCCCTGAAGTGCTTGATGTAGTACTCTCGCGGAATGCCCGAGTAATGGATTTCCGTCTCGGGCGACAGGAAGAAACCGTGGGTCTGTCCGGCGATGCTGTATCAAAAAAGAGAGGAGATGAGAACGAATCACAAAGGCGGGGAACCAAAATGGCGTATCCGCGTACGTTTTCAAAAACGTACTGCACCCGCTCCCCGGGCGACCGAGGACGACGAGCGTCTCCCCGCTCCGGATCAGCCCGTCAAAGTTGCGCAGGATATCGATCTTGTGCTCCCTCTCCGCCCCGAACAACTTCCTGAAAAACCCGATCGCCTCGAGCCAGACGTTGCCGACGTCCTTCTGGTAGTCGGTCGAGCTGCCGAAGCCGTACGCGGACAGGTTCTTGAAGCTGACGCCGGCGGTGCGCTGCGGGAAGCGCTCCGGCTCGCGCTCGGTGATGTCCAAGACGGCGCGGATCCACGCGCGGACGTCGAACGCGCCGCTTCCCGGGACGAGCCTCGGGTCGTCGGTCCCGACGAACGGGTTCGGCAAGCTCCCGTCTCCCGCCTTGTCGTCGTCGCCGCCGCCGCCCTTGACCGGGCCGAGCGCGAACGAGTTGCGGGAGACGGCGGGGGAGAGCGTCTGCGAGAAGGGGAGCAGGCTGTTGCGCTTGCTCTGGGTGCCGCCGGCGGGGTGGGCGGAGGAGGTGGAGAGGCGCCGGGCGTTGGAGGAGATGGAGAGGCGCCGGGCGAGCTCGGTGACGTCGCGCTGGCCCTGCTCGTCGATGTCGATGCGCTCCGGGCGGGGCGAGGTCGGCGTGCGGCGGAACTCCGCGTGGTCTTCGATGTAGGTCGAGGCCGAGTCCGAGACGGACATGGTGTCGTCTCTCGGCGCGCTCATTTGTTCCGTTTACGTTGTCGAGCTTGGCGGCTCACCTCCCAAGAATGGAGGTGCGAGACGAGGAGAAGACGAGCAGAGCGGGGGCGAAGAGGAGAACAGAAAACGGCGATCCGTTTGGTCTCAGAGGCGCGAGACTTATATAAAGCCCTGTTCATACATTGACGGAAGGACGGTGACAAAGCCGGGCCTGGTCCCCGTCCGTGGCGTGCGCGCCAGGACCGTGGTTGCGTCGTGGGGTAACATCCTGTGTATGGAACATCGCCGTCATGAAAAACTCGACGCTGCGTAAAGTAACGCCCCCGCGCGGGAAGCAGACGCGAGGTGAACGGGTGTGGTAAGTGCAGAGCGTCAGCGGAGGCAAACCCCCGCACCGCATGGACCAATCAGGACGCGTCTAATCCGGGCTTCTCCCTGTTTGAGTTACCGGTGTGCCCGATGTTATCGTGCCTCTTCCTCGACGCTCCTCGAATGGCAGTTTCTATTATGCAAGCTTCAAATCGTACTCTTGAATCAAAGGAACCGCACAAGCATATGTCTATACTTGCATTAGTAACAAGCTTTCGGATGGAGCCCTTCGCGGCGAAGTTCTCCTGTTCACTCTGACGTTCGATTCTCGGCGTTTTCGTTAATGCAGTTCCCGATTTCGGTGGCGGCTGTGCTCGCAATTTCCAAATCAGTGTGTGTATAATCTTAGAATACCGGGCGTGTCCAGTGCGCCGCATCGCTGCAACGTCGCCTCGAGGCACCGACGAAGGTGGCCAATGAGAGAAGAGCAATCGACTCTCGAACCCGGTTTTTAATCAAGATTTCTTTCGACTTCCCGTTCCCTCAAATCAACCCCCTGGGCCCATCTTCTCTCGCAGAAGTCGGAGAACGCATATGCTATCCGTGTGACACGTACAGCTCCTCCGCATACATCATCTGATACTCTCACCGGGCGTCCTGTGGGTACGTGCTCCTCAGAGACACCAGTGCTCGCAGCCCGGCGAAACACCTGAGACCGTTCGTCTGACTAACGTGCTCTTCCCTGATCTTGCAAGTCCAGGTGCGACTGCGGTTGCGTAATTATCCTCGCGCGTTTATCCGAGGAATCAAGCGCGCCCAAGGACTTTTGCATTATTTGCAAATCGCTCCCCGTCACCATGGTTGCTAATGGGCTTGCGGCGACATCTGAGATACCACAGGGCTTTGCGCGCCCTGGAAAGCCGGCGGCAGAACGCCACATACCATGCATATTTTACCAGATCGTTCCAGGACCTCCTCCTCCTTCCACCTTCACTTGCATAAGATTCAGAGCGTACCGACCAACGCCCGAGCTCGACGCATCGATCGTGAGTCCGTGTGGCATCCGTGCGGGGGATCCTGCCAATCAACGGAATTGCATCCAGTGCGACTGACTCCACGGCTGCGCATGCTCGTCCAACGGCCGCGGAAATGGGGGGGGGGGGTTTGGTTTCGGGTAGTGACGACAAAGAGGAGATCCGCATTGAACTCCCTTTGATCTGTGGGCGGGGGTGCAAGGCTGCACGCCAGCGCTGCATTATACGTCCGGTGACTGCGCCCGTGGAAACCGGAGTGCGCGAGCGCTGGACCGGGGTTAACCTCCGTCACGACCGATTCGTGACCACGCGCACGGTGACCGATGACCTGATGGGCATCCAACTCTCACCGGGGCATTGCCTCCAGGCTCCAGCAGAAGACGCGAACAGGGATCCAAAGTACATAAGTACTTATGCCGCGCTAACGAGTCAGCAGCACGCACATGCGGAGAGTCACAGCTACGCGTCCGTGCACCTCGCTTTTCACGACGATATCTCTCGGTCCCAGATCCTCCCTCCCGGCCACGTCCACGAAAATTTCGCCCGGAGCACGCGCCGACCCGCATGCCGGCACTCCTGCCTGAAGTACCGGCACGTCCACCCCCGCCGCCTATCACCTCCACCGGCAGCACGACACGCGCTATTGCAAGGCAGACTCGGAGACTACCCGAACCGAACGGATCGGACTCACCGCCGCATCGACCACTCCGGGATCGGGCTGGCGGCGTCCTTCGTTCCATCACTCGTCCTACGGCGGTGGTGATTGCGATTCGGCACGAGGTTTAAATGTTTCGTCCACGTTCCAGGAGCACTCAGGCTTGCACTCGCGGATCCCCGTCCAACCTCGTTTTTTTTTGAAAACCCGCAGCAAAAGTCACGACAAAGCGTGCACGTACGTACGTACGCAGATCCTGCACGCGTTCTTTCCCCGATCTTCGATACCGGCGTTGTTAACGTTCGTTCCAGCATTCGCCCGGCGGATCATCGTTTGTCGAAATGGGGTTGAAGAATTATTATTGTTTTCGCATTGGCGGATATCTGTAACACCTCTGTACTGAGCGGATGCGGATCCGTCCGCAGATGTGAGAACAACGATGAAAGCCAAGTGCAGTTGCTCGGAAGGTTGCGAGCCTGAACGGAAACGGGGGTCAGGAGCGAAAAGGCTGCGGGCGTTCAGGACTGCTCGAATTCACTGTCAGTGTCAGCGTCAACGGCTATATACACCCGCCTTCGGGATCGGAGTTGAGTGATCGAGGTTGCCAAGCAGCGGTTCATAAAAACCGTTTTCCAGCACACACCACGAGTCGAAAAAAAAAAATGCAGATCCGATAAATGCTATGCTAGTTGATACAACAGGGGTATGCGTGCCAGTGCGTCATGAGCGGAGAGACGAGCGAGCGAACTCTAGATCTATCACAAGCCAGCAGCAGTCTTGAGCTTGTCGAAGTCTAGGAGAATCATGCCAGTCAGCGACATGTTCCACAGGCTACCCTGCAAACGAGAATGCTCACCAGGAGTACCGAGGCCGGTGACGGGGTCCCAGCCGGCCTTGGCGGGGAAGCCGTTGGTGTTGCATCCCGGGTTGTCGCCGGAGGTGATGTCGTTGAGCGCGTCCGAGTTCTCGTACAGCCACGGGTTGAGGAAGCCGAGCGGGCTCTTGCCGGCGGCGATGAGCTGGTCGTTGAGGAGCGAGATGACGGAGGCGAAGATGGGCGAGGCGCAGGAGGTACCGTCGACGGGCTCGGTCGAGCCGTCGACGACGACCTCGACGCTGACACCCTGCGCGGCGACGTCGGGGAAGCCGCGGCCGGTCGCGTTGTACTTGCCGGAGTTGGTCGAGCCGAGCTTCTTGAGGTAGGCGGCGTGGACGTCGGACTGGTAGTCGGGGATGTCGAAGTAGTTGGAGAAGCCGCCGGAGCTGAAGTCGGCAGCGGTCTCGGGGCTGATGCCGGTGGTGGCGCCGACGGAGGTCAAGTACGGCTGGAGAGACATGCGGTGTGAGCGAATGCGGGGTGTATGCGAAGGGGGGAGACTTACGCAGCCCGAGGGGAAGGTCGGGACGAACTTGGAGCAGGACGAGCTCTGGGAACCGCTGACACCACCGTCACCGGAGGCGAAGAGGATGGAAGTGCCACGAGCACCAAGCTGAGCGTAAGCATTGCAGAGCTTGCTGTGGGAGAGTCAGTCGCCGATAACGGGGTGGACGATGAATCAAGCGTACTTGGCCAGGGACCGGGACATGTCGCTCTCGTTCTCGCCGTAGGAGGTGGTCAGGACCTGGGGAGGAGTGTCCTCGTCAAGGAGGTAGTTGACAATGTCGAGGAAGCCCTCGAGATCGCCGTCCTGGTAGTCGTCGCCGACGGAGATGAAGATGGTGGGCACGCCGGTAGCGACGCCGACGGTGTACTGGATGTCGAGGTTGGCCTAAGCGCAGAACGTTGTCAGTAATGGGAGAAAGGGCTGGTCGTTGACAGGGTCTCACCTCAACGCCGGCCTCCGATCCGCTCTGGGGGTTGCTGCCACCGTCAAGTTTCTTGAGGGTGAAGGTGGTGGAGGAAGACATGTCGGTCCTGTACTTGCCGAGGAAGGTCTTCAAGTCGGCCTTGTTGGCGTACTGCTCGATGAAACCGGAGACGGCGAGCTTGTTGGAGCTCTCGGAAGCGGCTTTCTTGGGGATGCCGTACAGCGAGCGCAAGCAGGTCGGGGTGACACGGTTAGCGCAGGCGGAGGAGATGTCCTCGGTGATGTTGGAGGCGATCTTCGGTGCCGAGGCGGAGACCTTGGGCTTGATGCCGTTCACGGCGGAGAACCTGTCGATGAGTTAAGACACAGATAATCGTGACAGCTTTGGAAATGCTCACGTCGTCATGGGGTGCACGAAGTCAATGTGCTCCTTCAGGCTCGCGGGGATGGAGTACGAGAGGGTGCGGACGATGTCCTTGCCGGAACCCTCATGAGTGTAGACCGAGAAGTCCGCGTCGAAGAGCTTGCTGGCATCCTCGACGGAGACGGAAAAGCCGAGCCAGTCACCGGCGGGGGAGAGGGTCTTCGCAGAGATGTTGTTCTCCTTGAGCCAGGCGGTGACAGCTTCCACGGACTCCTGCTTGGGAGCGACAAACTCCTCAACCTACGAGGACAAGCGTCTAATCAGCCACCCGCAAGCGTAAGCGGAAGGATGATGCTTACATCCTCCTTGGCGAGATGTTGACCGTAGTTCTTGCTGGACGGGGTGCTGACGTCGTACAGGGCCTTGATCAGACCGGCCGAGTTGCTCTCGGTGAGCGCAAGGCGGAGGTTGAGCATAGTCTCGCGGCTGGCAGGGGCCTTGACCTTGAAGCCGGAGGGGACGGCATCGCGCTGCTCGTGCACCACGAAGTTCTCAAAGGGCTTGGCAGAGACGATCGCGAGGAGCGAGGCGAAGAAGAGGCGAGTGGCGACCATGGCGAGCTGACTGCAACGGATGACCGAGTTGCTGACTGTGCCGGAAGGGTGTTGAGGACCGAAGTACCTTGCTCTATCGGTCTGCAGGCTAGCGCCTTTATACAACTCGGACGAGCAGGAAGGCCGCGTCCCCGGTAACGGATTTGCCATGTGCTTTGTACATCCGTTGCACAAGACATGCCGGGGCGAAGGTACGACACTTGGGCGAGAAGGCGGTGATCAGCACGACAAGCACGGCTGAGCATGTGGAACGAGGCGACGTCGACGCGTTGTGCACTGCAGCGTAGCAATGGACAGATGCCCCAAGAAGCCTTGATGACGGTTGCGCTTGGTGAGCTAAAAATAGCTTAGCAGGCGCAGCCACGGGTGATTGGTCTCGTAGAAGGATCGACCACCCGTCGACCACCGTCGCTGTGTCGATAGAAGCGAGTTTGCATGGCTGCAGAAGTCGATGATCAGATGGTCACCGTTTGGAAATGAACACGATACCGACTGTCGTTGGATGTACTCATCCGGCGCCGAGGACGGCTCCGGGTGGATTCACATGCACAGAGGCCCTACCGCAATTGCAGCGCGTGGTGGTGTCCGGCAGTAGACGAACTCGCCGTATGGCTGGCGTACACCGCCTGTAGCAGGAAACGGCATCGAACGCGTGTCCCCGGCAGCCCTAGTGACTGTTTCAGTAAGAGTACGCCAGCAATAACCGAAGAAACGTCCTGCATAAAGCGCAGTACTGGATCTCCACTATAAAGTGCAGCTAAACGTGCACATCGAAGGTGGCCATGACGGCGCGCACAATAGCACACCTGGATTATATATTGCAGCAGGAGCTGGAACCTACGACGTGCAGGCGAACGCCATGCCAGCACCAACCTCAGCTATATACTCCACCAAGACCCCAGGTGGTCTCGCGGTTTCGCGCTGTGTAGTCCGCCACCGCCACCGAATACACCTCGGCAACTTTGGCATTTGCTACATTCTTTACAAGGACTCTCCATGCACGCGCCGAGGTTACCATACATATACCAGCTACCTCTACACTGCCTTCGTCTCGTAGACCGTCATTTTTAAGATCAGGTTCGTATCTCTCGCATATACCCGGCACGCATCGATCGCTCCGCCACATACTCCAGCTACACACAGGTATTGGAACCGCATTCATCCAGCGGTTCCCCGCATATACCCTGGTAACTCGCACCTTGAACCTGGCACGCACACCACGCATCGATCGCTCCGCCACATACTCCAGCTACACACAGGTATTGGAACCGCATTCATCCAGCGGTTCCCCGCATATACCCTGGTAACTCGCACCTTGAACCTGGCACGCTGCCACATACTCCAGCTACACTTGCACTGCCATCGCCCTGCCGATTTGTCAGATTTGAGGATGGGATTGCATGCATCAAGCAATCTCTCGCATATACTCCTGCAAGTTCCCCGACGACCATCGCGCGCGCGCATTGGTCCCTCTGCCACATATTACAGGTACGTATACACTGCCGTCGCCTTGATGAATCGTCAGATTGGGTAAACCATTCCGTTCACTCGCAAATGCTCTGGCACATACGCAACTACGAGCTGCAGCTCGCTTCAAAGATTTGTTGCTCGCGTACAACAGCCGCTTGACTTAGATGCCCCAGCTCCCCCACACCAGCTCGCATGATGTTGTTGGTTCTAAGGATCGGACTCGCCTCGCTTCCGCTGAGTGCTTTCTCTACGAATATTCCTTGTTATTAATCAGTGCCTGCTTCGTTCAGATGTGCCAGGTATGCCTATACCACCGCCGCTCCCCTGAAACCATTCAATTCCACGATCGATCACACCATTATCATCTTGTACGTCCCTCCAGTCGCACATATGCCTACGAGAATTGCAGCTACTACCAGAACTTGTCGTACACCGCCGGACGAGTGCGATGGTCGATATCAAACATCGGACTCGCACCACCCTGGACGCTTTGTACGTACCCCGATGAGTGCGTTCGCTACAAGGTATCGTCGTTCGTGTCCAGGGCCGCTTCATTGAGCAATTGTTGTCGTAGGGATAGTTCGTTTCATGGTATGGGAGTGGCATGCGCGGTTTGTACTATCGTAAATGAAACTGTCGATGGACATACTACTTTGATGATTCGGGATCGGAACACCGCGGGGGCTCGATTGGCTTGAGATGTCGGTCGGCTTTTTGCAGTTCGGTAGACCTTTGGGTGCGCGAAAAGCGTTACAATTGATCGGCCGCTCTAGGTAGATTTACGAAACCGGACCCAGCGAGACATACGGCACAATGCGGCACCGGTCATTCCACGGCACTCCCTACCCAATCCGGAAACTCGTATCACTCTTTCAATCTCCGTCATCCCTTCTCCTGGTTCTTCTCATTACTGCCGATATACACTTAGCATTCGCTAACGGCGACAAAAAATGAGTTACTTACCTTGGGTCGCGGTTGAACTGCTCCTTTAATGCCACACGATGGCCGATTTTTTTTTGCCATGACGAGATAGTCTACAACGTATCAAGCATTGCTCAGAAGAGAGTGGCCAGAACATACAGCTGAGTTTGAATACACTTGATGAACTGATCGGCAGCGCGGGTCGGCGAGGATGTGGGTCGAGCGGGTGTTGCCAGGGCTTATCCCCAGGTCATGTGACGTGTCTGCTTTCGGACGCGCCTTGGGCGTTCAGCTGGCACCTGGCACGACGACAGCTATCCTGGTCCTCTCCTCTCTCCTTTGCCCTGCATCCCTCGCATTTCAACAATGAAGATAACTCCAACACGCAGTGAATCCCCACCATGGCTTGGAAGAGCGACTCAAAGTAGTAGAATACCCGGGTTGACAGAGGCATTCCAGAGGGTGCATAGAGCTGGGGCGGACGTTTGACAGTACGTGCTCATACCTATACGTGCCAGATAGTCTTTGACCGTACAAGTAGTACTGTTACTCAAGAGTTGTAGCACCCTGTCTCCACTTAGGACCGTTTGCTTGACCTCGGCGCTACCGCCATCCACCTATAAGGTACGACTGAATATATTGCGTCGCCATTCACCTCAAATCACAAGACCCAGCATCTCTAGGTGATGTGACGTTTCAACATGAGCGGTTGAATCTCACAGCTGGCGCTTGGGCTCTCAATACCAATTGCTGACGTGCATGCATATACAGTTAGCGCGACATGGCGTGCCAACAACGCTGATTTTGGGACCCGCGAGCTTGTGTGATCAGGTTCGGCAAGAAGAGCGTGACGGCCTCGCGTCAATATGTTGGTATGGCTATTCGTTCACGTTCACGTTCACCTTGCACATGGCTTATCCAGTGTGCTTTTATTTCAATAGGAGGGATGAAGGTACATATGGAGGTGCGTGTACGGCTGGCATCAGGAGAGAAGCGGGAACTCAACACCAGGCGGAAGAACCTTGCGCCCTCACATGGCCCGAATATCTCGGGGTGTTCACCTCGGTGCTAGGTTAGCTGTATTAATCGCTAGAGCTAAGGCTCACAGTCTAGATTCTTGACTTTCATGCATACGCAGCTAGCGCTAACCGGGATGCCAACAATCCTAGTTCTGGGATTCGCAAGTTTATGATCTTGGAGTGGAACAGTGTGGCGGCCTCGCATCAATGTCCCGATCTGGCCTTGTGTTCATGTCCACCTTCCACAAGGCTTGTTAGGCGTGCTTTCATCTTCGTAGGAGGATGAGGGTACCTATGGATTCGTATGTATGGCTGGCGTCGGGAGAGGTGTGGGTGATATCGTGGTGGCAGCCCGTGACGTGGGGCTCAGCTTACAGTCTGTTGTAATTTTATAGCGAGGCGAGGTGTACCCGAGTTGGATGACAGCTATGTATTACTATTCCCTTCTGCATGCCACGCCGCTCCCGTCGTGTACGTTGTCTGGCTGCGAGCTTGGCATTAACACGCGAAAGATGGTGGGTGTACATATCATGATGCTCCACAGCCAAAGTCTACAGGAAATACACCAGTAACGAAGTAAAGCGCAACCACGGAGTTTGAATGGAGCTCGTCTGACATTGCTCCTATACGTGTTCCCTATCTCCAAGACGGCGCACCGAGCAAAGCTCGGTGCTCGCTTCCTGCACGTCGATAAGTTATGTTCATCACGTCGACGTCATGCCGCAGGCGTTCACGAAGAGGGCAGCACGATTGCATCCTGTGCTTCTGTAAATAGACAGAATAGAAAAGTGTACGAGGAAACATACGCCATAGCATTGATCCGGATTCTGTTCAGGAGCATCGGCGTCGTCGTCACTTGGTACAGATGCCGTAGATTCAGACGCAGTTTCCGGAAGCATGGAATGATCGTCGAAAGCTGTGAGAGCCATTCTGAGCTTCAAGGCAATGCCGCTGGGCAGGCTGGGGTTCGCGTAAACAGAAAGAAAAAATCGAAGGTATAAACGAAGCGGCCAGAGGTCCACGTAGTCCCACAAGAAATTCATTCCTTCACTGTTGGCGACCTTGATATTTATGAGTATCATGGCACGTTGTGCGTATCATTGCAATAATGTACCTCACCGACCACCGCCCCGGTGGCGAACATAGGCTGATTTTGATAAACTCGGCCTATGACCAGTCTTTCGAACGCCAACTTTCAAATGAGCGCCTATATCCGCGTCCCATGTGTCAATGAGTAGAATATAATCGCAGTCCAGACATAGTCGCTCACCTTGATTTTGGACCATTTCTCCGCTAAGGGCTGCTCCATGAGCGCGATCAGCTCTCTCAAGGTCAGCTTGCGCCCATCAGGTCCACGTTGTCTGGGTTTCTCGATGCAATGGCAAAGCTCTTCAACCATTTCATCAATTAGAGGAGAGTGGAGATGACAACAGACCAGCGTACTCATGCACGGAGAACTATTTAGGACTCTGAGGTTACATCGTGCGATGCTTCGTACAGATCAGACAAATACAGAGGGCCTATTTCCTGCGGCAAGAAAGGCGGAAAGACTGCGTGAATGCGCTCAGTCACTGCATGTCGTCGGCACGCGCCCACTCGGGAACCTCGTCACCCTCTGAGTCGCTCTCGTCACTATATTCACCTTCTGTGTCCGATTCGTATTCATCGTCTACACAGTTATCGTCTTCTGATTGATGCGAAGCACACGCTAATGAGCATATCAATAGAGGCGGGAACGGATCGCCAACAGATGACTAACGTGTCGCGATGTGTCCCGAAGTTGGTGACGCGGTGATTGGCAGCGGCATATCGGGAATCGAAGAGGCTGTAGACAATGGGCCTAGATCCCTGTTAATTGACATGACTTGGAAATGGTTCTCTCCAAAGCGCACCTGTGGCGGCTTTGGCAAAGCAATTGTGAGTTCATTGCATTCACTAGCGAGGAGGTACTTACTGGGCGAACTGGACTGCGGACTACCCAAGGTGTCGAACTCCGATATCCATTCACCTCCAAGAGCGGAGATCTTGAGTAATGGTAGCCATTGCGCCGCGAAGACACTGCCAAGATTGGTAAGTATGCGCGATTGACGGTGCGCGTAAGCACTAAGTCCGCGCATAACGCAGTCTTCTGCAAATCGTCCGTCCTGCTGTTGATCCCACCAGGTCACCTTCGATCGGAGATACGTCAGTACATGCCTCATCTCCTCCACAAGCAATACGATCTCCTCCGCGCATCTTCGTGATCGTGCCCGCTGCCTTGCCCATTCGCTGCGCATGTACTCGTCGGCATCACGGTCATCCGTTTCCGCCGACGTCCGTTGGATGCCAGGCACGGTCCAAATCCAGGACGGTGTCCTCCTCCGTTCCGTTTCATCATCCAGATGGACGTCACGAAACGGGCCTCGGATGTCGTCATCGGACAGAACCTGATAATACATCGTCCAGTCGCCGCTCGGGTCAAGAGTCTTGACGGCCGCGTATGATGTTCGATATACGTTGACGGCATGCTGTAGCTTCTTCGACACAGAACCGAGAAGTGTTTTCGATCGCGTCCCTTCTTTCTGACCTGAGAACTTGTGAGCATCGAACAAAAGTGACCCGAATCATTCATACCGCCCAATGAATGCTTCATCTTCTGGCGTGCGGCAGATCTGATGCACAGAAACTGTCGGACGTTGACTAGGCCGTCTTTCATTCTTGCCGTGGCGTACTGTTTTTCGATGTCGATCACGCCGCCAATGCATCCGGAGCTGCGGAGCTCAGGGACCTCGATGTCGGACGGCATCAATATCACAAGATTTTCAGCATGAGTCACTGTTGCAACCTCTTCGCCGCTTTCCGCAGGATGTGAAGAACGGCGCGCAAGGGCTGCTGGCATGTAGGAGTTTTGAACGTCGTACCATTTCTGGATGTTCCGATAGAGTGCTGTGCGGCGCTCTTGTAGCGTAGACCTCGCCGTGTCTGTGGCATTTGCTTTCGTTTCCTTCGCCTGATAGCGGAGGGTCCACCTGAGATCGGAAACATCAGCAAACACCATATACGCATTATTGTCACGTGTCGGATCTTGGGCCATAACCGGGCCAAGTACGATAGCTCCGGTCGTTCCGGGTTGTCCGCCATCGGAGTAGCAGCTCCGGTACCGGACCTACGTTATCACATGAATAGTCCTCCGGCGACTCAACGTCCCGGTAGTTCTCGAGTCATAACGGATTCAACTCCGACGTTCACGACCGATATGCCTTTAACGGTTTGATATTCCCTTCGGATTTATTCTACCTCCGATTATCAGCTTGTAACCATATGCTCCGTCCTTACGATTGACAGTTCCACATGGTTCATAGTTCCGATAACTCCTTATTCCACATGGTTCATAGTTCCGATAACTCCCTATCGATACGAGCTCCGAACCGTGCCTCCGCGTATATAAACTCCTAGCTCCTGTACTCTAACTCCTTAGTTCGAATATCGACTAAGTTACTCCTCTGCTCCGACACGGACTTAGAGCGCGTAGCGACTCAAGCCTTAAAGCTTGAGTCTGGTCCGTACTCGCACTCACTCTCTGTATCTCGAAACTCTGCTCCGACTCCCTCCGACTTTCTCCGACTCTCTTCCGACTCGACTCCGACAATCATCTCGCTAGGTCCGGACGTCACCACCTCCGGCGTCGGGACTTAGCTCCGTCTCGATCTTGACATATGAGCGACCACTGCTG